GGCCAGTTGCATCCCATCTCTCTTGCCATCTGACAAATAGTGCCTCTCTTTCGCCGCTTTCATACAGCGCGCATCTCTCCGCAGTCTGCAAATCAATTGATGGATAGCAGCCACTACCAGTGCATCAGTCGACACTGTTCTGTAAGCGCACCCCACGCGCAGTAATACTCTTCGCTGGCTTCTCGATATATTTCTTTTTCCTCAAGGCCTTCCCAACTAACAATTATCACTCTTATTATATTTGCAAGAATGATTATACAGTATTCCTTAAACACCATTGTATACTGTAAGAACATTGGCAAAACCCTCTTAGAACTGCTATACAAGTGGAATGGGCACACCTAATAGGACACTTCAGTCATTTAGGAGGTTGTATAAGGGCTGCAGGTAACAGTTATACAACAAAAGTGTAAGCCTCTCGCAGCCGCTATAGGACATTTGCGTAAGTGCAAGATTCAGTTTTTGTCAACTATATAACTATTCTGTTACGTGATTCTACTTTATTGCAACCAAACTATTTCTTATGTATTGTATAGGGGAAGAAGAATATATAACTAACACATTAGTCATCTTGTTTACTTACATATCGGCCATTGTGAATTTCATACACAGGTATATGATAAACTTCTACACTGTGATATAGGGCTATTGAATTACTTGCGCAGCAAATTTTATTGTGATTATCGTGCAAATTAGTTAAGCAATTTCTACAGGCTTCGTATTTGGTTCATATCTTGATAATGATCAAAAGTATGTCTAGATTTTTAAGACGGAAAACTGAACTTATCTGCGTTAAATCTTCCACGAATCCTATATTTAGACACAATTACACTAATATTTATCACTTTATATCTGTAATTTCGAACTGAAACATAATTATTTAATATTAAATAGAGGAATAAATGTTTGTCAAATATGGCGGGTGGTTGTGTATAATCATGGCATCGTCCATGTTGTCTTTAGGTTATTAGAATATTTTGGTATTGCCTGCAGGTGTTAAACAACAATTAGACAAATGTCTGAAATGAAATACCGACATAGTCGAATGATTTACCCAGAATTTGTACCAGATCTATATCTTCTGTTTGAACAGTTGATAAACATTTTGAACCAATATGCATGCGTTGTTTGTCTTAAAACATTGTTTATGGCATTTTAACAAAAATATGACAGCAGAAAGTTAGGTTATGGTGAAGTTGTATACCAACATATATTTAGCATATGTACAGCCTTTAACAGTTACTAAACTTCCGTTGGGAGCAATTTGTTGGCTAAAGTGGTAAATTGAACAGCAAAACAACAAGGCTCGGGTTTGTTTTATAAACGTTCCCAGGGATGCCACGACACAACCATTTTGACTAACGTGCAAATATGCCGTATAAAATAGTTGTATTAACGTTTATGCAACAGTTGAAAATTTGTCCTATAAGGTGTTGTATAAATATGCTATCAGAATATTTTAAACACCTCATTTTAGAGCAAATATGTTGCAGAAAGCAAATTTGCATTCCACACAACATTAAGCCAGCATTTTAGTGTTCAGGCAACAACAATAGAGAGCTTTTATGGCTAAACGGTTCTGTTACCAAAAGCTTATAGCACTACTTTGCTAGTTGGGTTGTTATATGTAAGAGCATCGTACAGCATAATCGAGTTTGCCACCTCTGCCAAAATTCTGCATCTCTCACTACTGGTGCCTCCGTCAGATGGAATTAGTCGAGTAAGAGATGCAACGACCTTATCTACCTTGACACTGGTGCGCCTTATATGTTCAATCGTCTTCAGATCTTTGTCAAGCCACACACTTAATTGCGTTTTAGTTTCGAATCTCGGAATGAGCAACGTTAACTGCTAATGAAGTTAGCTCCTGTCTGCCAGAAGGTGTAACTACTTCCGTCATCTCAGGATCTAATTTAAAACCATCAAAATGGTAATTCTCATCATTTCGTATGCCAAGAGTCCTTCAAGTGTATCTGTCTCCTTGCTAGTCACTATCATCATCGCAAGGTACCCCTTCGTGGAACACGTTCCAAAGCAATGGCCCTAGGACGGAGCCCTGCGGCACACCCATGGCTAGGGTTTTTGCCTTTTGCTCTACCATACGTGCCCTCTCGTCAAAATAGCTCTTCATCGTGTTCATTATATAACTAGGGGATGTATAGCCTCTCGAGTGGTTCGACAATTTTTGGCCAATGTGCCGTGTTAAAGGCATACTTCACGTCAAAAGCAACCATAACGAAAAGCTTCGTAGTATTGTAGCTGCGGCTATCCGCTGTTTTCACCAGCTGTGCCACTGTACCAAGTACATCAATGACAGAGTTTCCCTTTTTGAAACCGTATTGCGAGCGATACAGCCCGTTCTTTACCTCGACGTATTTTCTTAGCCTACCTTCTATCAGCCGTTCTAGTAGCTTTCCAAGTAACTCAGTATACACAGAGGTGATAGGGATGAGTACCAAACCAGCCTCTTTCCACCTCCTCGGAACGACTCCCGTCCTCAAGAATTCATTCATCACAGACAGCACGATTTCGGGTATCTATTTAACCATCACTGTCACGATCTCATTTCGTATTTCATCTAGTCCTGGTGACTTACCTGTTTTCAAGTGCGTTGCAGCTTCTTCAAGCTCACTCATGGTTAACTCTGCTACGTCCGGAATTTACTCAAATTTTCATTCGATGTGTGAGTAGTTCGGAAACAACGCATCTGCAATTTTTATGTGCTGTTTAGTATCCTGGTATGGGTCTGTGAGTTTTAGCTTTACCATGGCCATCTTGTATGCTTGACCCCAAACGTCTTTTTCTAAGTCATTTAATAAGTCTTCCCACATCCTCTGTTTAGAGTTCACTATGAGCTTTTCTAGTTCCTTTTTGGCATATTGGTGTCGTTTTTTGTACTCAATCATCAGAACGTGATTCCTTCTTCCATTTGCTCTACGGTACTTTATATCTTTTCTTGTTATTCTACGTCTGATAGTTAGAAATTCTTTTCTTTTTTGAACAATTTCATTATTCCACCAATATTTTGCTTTCTTCACTTTACCATTTTCGTGGGCAACGTCGAAGGTGTTGTCACAAGCTGTTATGACTACATCCTCCAGCAGTTGGACCTTGCCCTTGTAATCAGCCAATTTTGCGTTCCATAGGGCAAACTGCGGATTTCCGGGGAATACTTTTAATTTAGCTTCATGTATCTTCCACCAGCAGATCTTGTGTCTGTGGTCTTTCATGTTCGATAGTGGTTATTTCAAACATAATATATTTATGATCGCTGAGGTTTTCATTATCGAGTACTTTCCATTTGATGATTTTACCAATCAGGTTTTTACGATGGAAAGTAATGTCGATATACGATGTTTGGCGTCTTCTGACAAAGGTTGGCTCGCTACCATCTTTGTTATGACAAACCTCCTTGCTGCGGAGATGAAATCTGATATGGTAAAAGTGTCAGGGAGTACCGTTCCTTCACGATCAACAAATATTTAATTGGACTACTGAATTTAAACGTGGTCCTACAGACGTCCATAACCATGCTGCAGTGGAAACTTGGAAATAGTTACCTACAAACGAATACTCGTAAGTTCTATACGCCATATAATTTTAGGTAATAAGGGAATTGCTACGTACAAAATTGCTGCGACTGTTGACATCTCAAATCAACTTTTGTTTCTTATTTTGAAAAATGAATTATGGTCTAGAAAGAAAAGACAAGTCCAAAATCACATGAAAATTTTGTAATACCTGACGAAAATCTAGAAAACAAATGGCATCATTCAGCGAAAAAAAAAACAATAAAAAATCATTTACTTCACTACTGAACGTCTGCGAAGATCCTGCATGACAGTCGAAGTGATCGTAATTTTTTTACACACCTTAATAGTTTTTTTTGTTGTTGCAGGTAAGCAGTTTCTCTTATATTGCAGTCATTTTTACGTAAGTATTTCAAACATATCCTGTATGTGTATATCATCATTATCAGGACACAATGTATCTTATAGAATTCCTTCGACTGCATTGATCCATTATATTCACCTCATTTTTCCGGGAACTTCATCACATCATATCACTCTGAAATAACTGTTCAACCTGCCCAAAAGAAGCCAATTAGAACAATAGAACAATAACTTTCTTCCTCTTATATCCCAAAAGACTCTTAAGGCTGGACTGCACCTTACTTTTGGCATTTGTCTAAGAAGTTCGCAGTCAGTGTATGACCCCGAAGCTATCTACACAGAGTTGCTGCATGCTGTTCGCTGTACGGTCAACCAAATGGCCATTGACTGCTTTTGCTGAAGGCAAAAGCATTTCTGTATCCCCCACTAAATGTCTGAACCAACCGCCTAATGGTCAGAAGTGCTTTCCGCGGTTCACAGCGAACAGGGGTCGTCAAAGGTCAGTCCGCATTCGCGCGCCTCTTGTCTACCTTACAACTTATAACACAATGTTCCACACTTTACCTTCTGAAATAAATCAAACCCACGAGTGTACCAAGAATACGCTTTTGGACATTGGCGCACGTTTCAGAGGTCTTTTAACTTTGATATTTTCGCTTATTGAAAATGTCTCGTAAGAGAAAAAGGGTGAAGCGAACGATATTACCTATTGAAAAAATGGGATATTCCTGGTAATATTCGGTAGTATTCAATCCATACTAGACCCCGAGCTTTCTCCTTTTAGCAAAAGTATGGCATGGGGTACAATCCTTGTGAGGTAGTAAGGATAAAGAGGATATTGGTCATAGTTTCCATATAGTTTTCCAATGACACACAGAAATACAGAATTGTTCGCGCAAGGTATAATTTGCCATCCTATTGTACAGGGTCTCACCCAATCTAAAATAAAATCTACTGTAGTAGACAGTCAACTATCAGAAACATGTTGCAAATCATATGGCAAGGTAAAAAATACGAGAAACAATGTTATAATCAATTTAGGCTTAGTTATGGAATGAAAAGTGCTTAGAATCTTTCCTTCTCTACTTCCGATATAACTGGAAATACTTTAGCCGAATTGCTCCCTTTAGTTGGAGCCAAATTCTTATAACTCTCTGTTTCTGGATGAGACAACCTATATGCAGCTTTAACAATCCCCTCAGAATCTAAGGCTAAACCGCTATGATAATGATGGTATGATGTCTTACTACTACACCAAAATCTATACCTTATTGTCATCCCTTGAACGGACACACCCAGGTCTAAGAAATCCTGACATACCATTACTATAGGTGGATCACATGATTTGCTGGTATCCAAAACCTTTGGATGTTTGCAAGGACTCAGTGTCTCCGTGGCCACTATTAGTGATAGATGATAATTAAATACCTATCGCACTGATGAATATTGGACATAACAAGATATTATATCTGATTTAGTGCAAAATACCTTAGCGTTTGGAATTTTAGTTGTCTATGTATACATCTAAAATGGACACAATTAAACTCAGTACTAAATTTTTCGATGTGTTATGTCCTAATGGTTCATAGTATATTTTTTTTTATATCGAAGCAGCAGCGCAGGCAGAAGCCTAAATGCCGGAACTCCGCGGCTGCTATGATGATCCCAAAGAAATTTTGTTAATACGATTTTTGAACTGCCTAAGGTTAATAGAACTGGGAAAAGCTTCCTCTTGTAGATTGTTCCACAATCTCGACACCCTCGGGTCAAAGGAGCGGTCGTATCGGCCGGTTCTGGATGTACGAAGTTCGACACGGTTAGGATGGGACGCTAAAGTTAGGCGGGTCTGTCTGGCAGGCGCATCGCGCGACGGCATCACGGAAGAGAGCTCTGAGGAGCAAAGCCCGATGGTGTAACGGTAGAAAAGAGCCAAATCGCCGACAGCCCGCCGGTGCGAAAGAGTCCCGAGACTGTCTGTTAGAGAAGAGTCATCGATCCGACGGACCGCCCTCCTCTGGACAGCATCGAGCATGGATCATGTAGTCGGGGCGGCAGCACCCCAAACGTGCGAGCAATATTAGAGGCTAGGCCTTATCTGGGCCTTGTATAGAGTGAGAAGGTCATGCGGAGAAAAGTACTTTTTAGCCCTAAACAAATAGCCTAGCTTTTTTCCAGCAGCTGCAGCTATTGACGAGATGTGTTCGTGCCAGATCAGGTCCTCGGTGATCTGGACTCCGACCAGCCGAAATGAATGGCTCTTTGGCAGAACTCGACCGTCAATCGAAACCGGGTGAGCGCAGGGACGCTTTTTGTTCGTCAAAGTACAGTACTGTGTTTTGGAAGCATTGAACTGTACAAGATTGTTGCGTCCCCAAGCAGTGATAGCCTCCAGGTCTTTTGTCAGAGAAGAAGTCGTCGCTAGTCTTCTTTTTTCCAGCTTAGCGGCAGAGATCGGCTTGTCACTCTGAATTCCTGCATGTAGAGTGCTGTCATCAGCGAAGCTGTGGATCGGGTTAATCGTGCAGGAAAGGAGGTCGTTGATATGTAAGAAAAACAGTGTGGGAGCCAATACCGATCCCTGGGGAACACCCGCGTTGACGTTGTGGGATGAAGAGGAGAACCCATCAATTACGACGGATATCTTGCGGCCAGAGATAAAGTAAGCCACCCATCTGCAAAGCTTTTCCGGGAGGCCATAGGATGGAAATTTGCTTAAGAGGGCAGCGTGCCACAGCTGATCAAACGCTTTCGTGATGTCAATAGCAACGACATGAGCCTCACCATAAAACTGGATGAATTTACTCCACAATTGAGTGACGTAAGCTAGGAGGTCCCCTGTGGATCGTTGGTGCCAGAAACTATACTGCCTGTCGCTAATCAAGCTGTGACTTTCGAGGTAGTCCAGAAGCTCGCGATTTATGCACCTCTCCATCACCTTACCTAAAACATACAGCAGAGCTATAGGCCTGTAGTTGTAAGGGTCCGTCTTAGATCCGTTTTTTGGGATGGGTTGGACTTGAGCAAATTTCCAGTTTTCTAGGAAGGTGCCGGATTCATAAGATATCTGGAAGAGACGAGAAAGAACTGGAGCAAGCTCCGCTGCACACCTCTTCAGTACAATGGCAGGAATCAAGTCCGGACCAGAAGCTTTGTTGATGTCGAGCGACAAGAGCACTCGTCTTACGGTCTTATGCCTGAATGTTACCTCCCGCATAGTGAATTGACGGCACTTGGGCATTGGGGGGACGCCCATGGTGTCTTGGCTAGCACTTCCGCCTTGGTCTTTGAGTTGCATAAAATATTTCGATCCTGACACGTAAGTGGTGGAAGGCTACTGGATAAGAAGTTCTTTTCAATCTGCTTGGCCAGCGTCCAGAAAGGTAGTCCATTGCGCTGCGACATTACCCTATGCCTAACTTTTATACCGTGCAGGTTTTTGGCATTGCGCACTGCTTCTTTATATTTGTTTCTGGTCTCAACGTCGGCTTGTCTGTTCTCTATAGTGGGGCTTTGTAAGAAGGTTCTGTGTGCCTTGATTTTCTGCTGGCGAGCAGCGTTACACGATTTGTTAAACCAGCCAGTGTGAGGGATGTATTCCTCCACACGTGGATAATTTCGGTTATCGAAGAACAGACAGCCGACGCGTCCGCGTCTGTGAACCTACACAACACCATGGTCTGAGCTACCCAGGGGACAGGACAGCAGTGCTGTAAGGGACAGGATCCGTGGTCAGAAAGAGATCCAGCTGGCTACTGGCGTGTGACGAGACGAGGGGGAAAAAGTAGGGCTCGTCACCAGCTGAGTCAGCTCTTGAGTAAGAGCGAACGCCTCGACTGCACGACCTGCTGCATCGGTCTTGTTTGAGCCCAACCAAAGCTCATTATGGGCATTGAAATTACCGAGAAGAACTACCTCTACTACCTCTGAAGCGAGGTGATTGATGTTCAGGAAGTCGATCTGGACGGCGAGGTATTCGAGTAGGTCATCCCAGTTGTGATCCGAGGGAGAGCGATAAAGGCGGCAAATAAATTTGGGTGATATTTTGGAGTTGAGGCGAAGCCACAGAATGTCCTTCGGGTCTGATTCCAAAGAAACATCTCTGGAGCAGGAAATACTGCTGCGGACAAGAGCCACAACTCCTGCGTTCTTTCTCAGATTGGAGTGCACCTCGTAGTTTGGGAAGTTAAGATGGTTACTCGGTGAGACTCTGAGATTTTTGTCTCCGCCAAGGAAAGCACGGCGGGACGATTGGCTTGCAGGTAGTGATGAACAGCATCAATGTTGCTGTTAATCCCGCAGATGTTCGAAAAACAAATTTTATCGTCGATGTTGTTCCCTCGAGCCCACCCGCCACTCGGACATTCCGAGAGTGGAGTGAGTTTACGTCCGGAGTTCTTAGTGCTCGAGGGATCCATCATCATTAATTTCTTTGTTTTGGAAGATAACCGACTGCATAGCTTAGGTTTGGAAACATGCGGACATTTATAAGATACCCTGGGAAAAGCTAGCGGGTGGTACTGCCTCGGTCGACTGGTCCTTGTCTACCACCTTCTTTTTACATGTTATTGATGTTAAATAGACCTAAAGTGGCCCGTTGACGGACTTGTACCGCCACCCGGCAATCGGTACTGAGGTATTCCTTAACGCGTGTACGATCACTTGAGCGGGAAGAAGTTGTATACTGGATACAACAACTTCCGGAACAAGCATTAGTAGGGGTAGCTGAGTAGAACAAGTACAACAATAAGAATTGTAATTTAAAAAAATCTGAAGCTATGCTTTCTTCATTTTGAGATAATTGCTCTTGAGTCCCTCTGCCTGGTCATATACAGCGTATGCGCAGCTTTACGAGACATGGCGGCGTATTTCTCAAGTCGCCCTAAACATCCATCGGCGAAACTGTCCGAAGAGGAGGATGCGACAATCGCTGAGAACTCTCGCGATACACGTCAACGATAAGCGAAATTCCGTGTAATCATCATATTCCGGTTACGGTCGTGACTCTACTGGAACAGTTTATTAGCTTCACAACTTTTTACGTCTCCTCTATCTCCGTGTTTAGCATCAAGAATGTTATATCACTAGAGGGTGATATTGTTCAGTACCTAGTTGTAGTTGGATTTATTTTTAAGTTTGTTTTGAAGCTATGAAATATGTTATCAGTAAAATGCAATTATTGTTAGAAAAAATCACATACATGCTGAAGTTGATACTTTTGGTTAGGTTGTCTCGTAACTGAAGAATAATAGTCAACGAGAAAAGAGCGGAACAATACTTACTGGTCGGCGAGTCACTAAGGAAAGTGAACAAGGATGGTTCACACAGTAACGAGGTTTTTGGCATCGGGATTTTTAAACCCAACACAGGTTTTGATTGCATGTCAAGAGGGCGACCAGAATATTCTACATAATTTCCGTATGCAGTTGTAGCAAAATGATTATGTGTTCAGTCAACGCGACCGACTGCAAGTTATCTTCAGTACTTGTTTTGTAGTGTATCGAAAATGGAGCGTGAACGGTATAAATTAAATCATCTGGACTTTGTTGTTTTGACAGCGGGACTTGTCGAAGTAGTATGATAACTTCGCAAACTCGCAGTAGCAGAAATAGATGAAAGGCAAGATGAACGACAAGAAGAGAATGACATCACACACAAGTGGCGTAGGAAGTAACTGCCATACTCTGGAATGTAGTAAAGCCTCTGCACTATTCATCTGGCGAATGAGCTTCTTGTGGGGCCGGTCTCAGTGCGCGTTCGAATCCCGTCATAAGAGAATTTTTCTCTTTCCTCTCCGCTAAAGATGTTGTGATTGTCCGTAGGTGGTAGTCGTCCTCAGACCGTCGAGCGTGGAGATACCACGCGGAAAATCTCTCAAGGCGGTTTCCAGAATGTGTGTTTGTAGGTTCGTGTGTTCTTCCACAAAAGTCGATGTTATGCCACACCGCTTTTCCCTGCAATCTCCTATAGCTCCACGGTACCCACGGGCCTTAGACCTGCGAGGTGGTTTAAGCCAAAAATATACCACCTACTTGTATCAAGACCATGAGATCCTGTAGTGTACAGTGTACCTTTGGATCCAGTGCTTTGGGTTCTCTGGTCGAAACTGGCTTGGAGGAGACAAGTCCATATCATGTGGAAAACTGAAGAACGTATTATGTTTGTAGAAAGTGATGCCTACACATTCTAAAATCACTACATCCTTCTTAGTACTATTACAAGTACCGAAAACTACAAAAATGAAAAGAAAGAAAAAGTAGTATTCCATAGAAACACAATCTTTTACAAAAGGACTGTTCATCCAGCACAAAGAAAATCAATCCAATTTAACGCTACCCCCTCCTTCTTATCATATCCGTATCTCCGGTTCGTTATCATCGTTGATAGTCTGGCTTCAATTTGTTCCTGTGTTTTATCTCACCCGAGATGGTAGTTTCCCCTTTTCCCTTCCGTGTCTACGGCCGTCTGGACCCCTCGCGATTGCTTTAATTTCAACGTCGGCACGAAGGGACTTTTTTTTCTTGCCGTCTCTCTAGTCTGGATGGGGAAGAAAATATACTCAGACAACTTTTGAAATTCATCATTGAGGAGTATTTCGTGAGCTAGCAAACTCACTTTGAGGTTAGGAAACAAGTTTAAGCCTTCCGCAGGCACGATGCAGTATTAGTGGATTCTTGAATGTAATGAAAGCATTATTATGCAACTAGATGACCAAAGTGCAGGCTAAAGTATCACTTATTGTCCTTTTGTAACAGGGATAATGTAAAAACGGATTGTGAATATGTATATACAAAGTTTGACATTAAAATTGCAGGGTATACATAATCCCTTACTTCACAGGCAGATATGCGTGGGAAAAATATGCCAACGAAAAGCTTTGATACTTGCTGTGGCTTGTATAGTTAATGAAAGACGTTATACCAATTTCCTGTGAGCATTAAATCTTATATCCCCAGTAACCCTACGATATATCCTGGGGTGGCTTTGATCTTCGAATATTAAGACTGAGCCATTTGATCAACCACTAATTTTCTTGTGTCTTCCCACAAACTAGGAATATAGCTTTCTTTCCGTCCGACCACAGACGGTCAACCATGGACAGCTGTTTAGAACCATTTGGCAACTCCTCGGCATGACCTAGGCTTGGTCTCAGATAGGACAATGAACGAGAGCTGAGCAAGTAGCCTCTACCCAGAGTATAATGTCTATCGAAATAAGACTGTTACCAGAATCGACCGCTGCGAAAGTGAAAACAGCTATACTACAACTATTTAAAACTGTAATGACTCATACGTGTGATCAACACGTGATCAGAGCTCGATCCCGGCTTCCTTCCAGTACAGCCGTATAGCGTACGACATATGTCGTTTCTGTGGCTTTGCGGTGGTCAACAGCACAGACAGAGATGGAAATAATGGCTGATTGTTCTCCGCCGGTAGAAGCAATGAAATCAAAGACGCGCCTCGACCGGCAGACTCATAGGCGTCGGCAACGTATTGGAACGTGTTTCGTTGAGCGATCGCATATTGTGTGTTTTTATAAGAATTGTTGTGTCATTGTTATTGTTGTGGTTTCTGTGGTTACTGTTTTGGTTATACTTAACCATGGAGAGTACAAATGGCACGAGTGGAAGTACTGAAAGCCAGGGAACAAGTAGACGGCTTCGTAAAGCACTGAAGAGGGACGCGAAAGAAATCGTGCTCAACGTGTTCAATTATCTGAACAGAACTATGTCGCAGGGAGATGCACTCGCGCGTTGTGAAAGTATGACAGGCGTTCCAGAGTGGACCATTCGCAGGGTGGTGCATGAAAAGAAGAAAACTGGAGCTACTACTGATCCAAAGTTTAATTTGAAGGGACGAAAGGCCGTTAAATTGGATGTCGATGGCAAAATGGCGTTAAGGCGAACCGTACATTCATTCTTCTTTAGGAATGAGATACCAACCCTCAAGGCTGTACATGCAGCGATCAAGGAAAATGAAATTATACCCCAAATGAGCGTCGAGGTAATGAGGAAATCCCTGCACGAAATTAATTTTCGTTACGAAACGCGTAATCGGAAGTCAGTATTGATAAAGAGACCTGAAATAGTCGCCTGGGGTCGAAAATATCTACGCGAAATGATTGAATATAGGCGACAAAGCAGAAAAATCTATTATTTGGACGAGACATGGGTAAATGCAGGTCACACAGTTAAAAAAACCTGGATAGACAAAAACGTAGTGAGTAACCGACAAGCTAGCATTGAAGGTTTATCAACAGGTCTTCGTGGACCGTCAGGGAAAGGTCAAAGATTGATCGTAACTCATATTGGTAGCGATAGTGGCTTTTTAGAAGAGTGTGACTTGATTTTCGTCTCTAAGAAAGGAGGTGATTACCATGACGAAATGCTGCTTCGAGGGCTGGTTTCAAGGGGTGCTTCAGCGAGTTGAGCCCAGCTCTGTGATTGTCATGGATAATGCTTCCTACCATAGTCGTCGAGCTGAACGTGTACCGACTATGGGATCTCGAAAAAGTGACATGCAGTAATGGTCGCGCGAAAAAGGAATCCCGTTTGACGATTCATGTGTGAAAGCGGAATTGTATGAAAAAATTAAACAGCACAAACCTGCGAACATTAGTTACGTGACTGATGAGATGGCCGTCAATGTGGTATCACTGTGCTACGGTTACCGCCCTACCACTGTGAACTGAACCCAATAGAGCTCATCTGGGCTCAAGTGAAGGGTTATATTGCGCGCCATAACACAACCTTCAAATTACCAGACGTTAAGGTTTTACTTGAGACTTCCATACAGCTAGTAACGCCCGAAGCTTGGCAGAATGCTGTCCGTCATGTTGTGAAGGAAGAAACAAACATGTGGCAGCTTGACCACCACATCGACACCATCATAGAACCAGTTATAGTCAATTTCAACGAGGAAAGCGATAGCGACAGTTTATTACTGTCAGATGTAAGTAGAAGCGACGATGAATAAAGGTAATTCCCAAATTTTTGACTTACAATATGTTTCAAACCACTCTTTATTAAGCATGTGACAAATATAGTTCACCCATGTTAAACATTCATACCCCGCCTATGAACAGCCGACTACTGGTAGTTAAGTGATGTTCACGTGAACATCGATGAGTCATTACAGTTTTAGATAGTTATAGTATAGTTGTCTGTTGGAACTGTATCTCAGTCCGCATTATCAGCCGGGTCACCACTGTAGCTGAATGATGCAATAGTCGAGATACAGCTCTAACAGGCAAAATATTGCTTTCACTTTCGCAGTAGTCCATTCTGGTAACAGATGAAGCATTTTGCTGTCTTGTCTCGACAGATCTTATACCCTGGGTGAAGTACAGTTGCTCGGCTGACGGTCGTTGTCCAACTTGAGACCAAGCCTACACCATGCTGAGGTGTTGCCTATTAGGATGAAACAGCTATCCATGGCTAGCCGTCTGTGGTCAAACGATTAGACCGTATCTTCTATAGCAGCATCTAGTGCTCGAGGTGGTGACCCGGCTATCAGTACGAACTGGGATACAGATCCAACAGACTGCTTGCTGTTTTTTTCTCTCGCAGCGGTCGATTCTGGCAACAAACGGCACTTTGTGCTGCCTTATTTCGATAGTACTTTCCACAAGAGGCAGTCCACTGATATCCTTTGGATAATCTAAATGCGCGTACAGACCGAGGTTCCAACGCAAGCCAAGGTACATGTGGGTACATATTTGGAGGTATTCGAATCGGTGTGTACGGCGCGAGCCAACATAAGCCAACTCTTTCCATGGTCGGCCTTGGCATTCGATTGCGTTCGCTCCTTGATCGGTACATAAAAGGGAGGTTTGATTTGGTCTGGACAGTATTTGTTGCTCTCTCAATATTTAGTTATATTAAGTCGTTTGACTGTATTCGATAAGAGGAGACTCGTCGCTTGACATTAGCACCGAACTTAACCCGACGCGGTTCAACTCGAAACTAAATTTAGGTGTAGACTAGCGCATTCCAATACCCTACAACAACAAACGCCAACGTCACACGTGTGTTTTATTTTCGGTCTGTACGCGGCTTAATGTGTAAGTAATCACTAGGAGCTCTCGCACATGCCGTCTAGTTAATTTATACTGTTGCCCCATATTACCTACTTCATTCTTTAATGCCTTAAGTACCACTCAATTTTCTGCTCAAAAAATTTGATGTCAACCTGTTAGTAAACTTTAAAATAAAACGTGGTACCTTCCAAAGACGGAACAAAGGAATGCGGTTTTATTTTCTGTCTCTACAGAATTTGTTATACGTTATTATTATATTACCTCTGCATATCCAAAGTGACTGTCACAATTCCAACCAAAGTATTCTTCCTTTCTTCGAAGCTTCAGCGGGAATATCTTGATATCTTATATCCTTCTACTGGCAGCAACCACCACAGCTGGATTCTGGTATACAAGCATGACTCATGACCGCAAGTATGCACTACACCCACCTGTATTCTATACGAGCACGTACAGTTGGTTTCCGGCAGATGCTCACAAATTGGATCAATTATTAAAACAACAATTCGATGGCTATTTCCGATATATTGTCCCATCATATAATCAAAAACGCATGCATAATGTACCAAGCCAATCGATTCTCAGTTCAGGGAGCTTTAACGGCCAATTTACCGATAACAATTTGATGTCCTGGGAGCAATGTTCCCACGGATGGCAGAAATGTTAGTGCTACAAGAATTGGTATGCTTTAAGGATGCGCCAGAAATCATCAGATTTATATACGTTCAGGTACACCGAATGGAAACAGAAAGTTGAAATGAATATACATCAAAATTAACTTTCAACTTCAGAATTTAATATATGCAGGGTGTCCCATTTTAGTATTTCCTAAATATTTCGAAAACTATGCATCCTAAAAAAAGTTTCGAATGAAAGTTGTAGGATTTCCAGGAGTCAAAATGATGGTGACCTTCACAAGGATCTACACCTTGACCTCTAGGGTCATTTAAAGGCCAAGCGAATATTTTCAAATCAAACTACCCCTTTTACACCGGAATTGGAAAGAGAATGACCTTCCACGTCTTAATATGGTCTTAACCATGGACTTCAAGGCCATTTCAAACTCAAGTAGATACACTGAAAACAATTTGCTCTAACAAAAATGTTCGACAGTTCTGAGGTTTGTGGGGTCTCCCAAAAGAAAACTTGATCATGACCTTGTCCCTCACCTTCAAGGTCAAATCAAAATT